CCTTGCCAAAGGATAGGACTTTCACTTCTGACAAATATGTAATATAAGTTGAAAAAACCGTACACAAAAATCATCATATTTTCATGATCAAAGAGACAGATGAAAACAAACAAAATTATAGAGACTCAAATATTTTCATGTAGGTCTGAGGTCTCCTAATTCCTGTTGTCAGATTGTACACTGAGAGATATTCAATTTTTGTAGCTTGCTTGTGCACACTGCAATAAATCCAACCTCGTCATTTCAGTTTTCTTAAGTATAGAAATCCCCATGACACGAATACTGTGTTCCATAATGCTTTACTCATCCCCACCCCTGACACTTGGACCCAAGTCGCCAGGTGGCGCAACGCTGCGGAAATAACCTTTTACAAGCAGGTGTGCGTTTGAAGTCAGTCTCAAGAACAGAAGCGATTGTACTCGTTCTGTAGATATTTTCTGAAGCCCAAAATGTAATTGCATTGCCAACTTGGCATAGAGTTTGGACTATGCAGCAGTTATACAATACGGCCTCAAAATTCTGGTCCCCCCCACCCCCCGTGAACACTATACGACATCCAGTAGATTTCTAGCGGGGACCAATCAGAGGGCTGCTGACAGGTCACCGACTAGCGGCTATTAACACCTTATTTCGTGTAAATGTCATGAACTCAACCAGAGCTCGTAATTGTTTCTTCAATTCTTGTTTACTTCAGTACTAAGTACTAGTACTTCCACAATTAGTTTGTAAAATCATATCTTACTGGATTCCTAGTAAAATCTACTTTGATGAACGAAACGAAATGGGACTGTAGAAGTTTTACACATTCAAATGGGGCTGCACTAGAGCTAAAGGAGCGAGCAGTACGGGAAGGAACAGATTCTAGCGAAGCCGAGATTTGTGAAGCAAACCCAACCCATCGAAGACGGGCCGCCAAACACAAAAATGGAGGGAAATGACAGACAAAATTGGAGAACACCACAGCAACTTCAAGCGCTAACGTTGTAAGAACTGTGGAACCTCAAACTACTGTGTGTTTGTTAGCGTCAGCGGAAAGGCTGCCGAAGCAACCACTACATGCAAAACTGCGACGAAAAAGTAACATGTGTTCGTCCCAAATCTGGACGCAAGTAGTGAGCTACAAAAGTAATAGAACCTATGCATCTTGCTTGTTGCTGTGAACTTACCCGTTAAAGATTGAACCGATACATGTGCCTACTATAACTTGCTATACCCTACCAAACACGACTACATTACTGTTACTCTTCATTTTGTGCTGTATAATGTTTATGCGTTACATTATCTATCATTGTCATTTCTGTGAATTCCTGAAAACATCTACTGTTAGTTTCTGTAACATTACGCAGTGCTACAATCTGCGTAAAAAGTGGGCCTCATTGTGTGTTATCTGCTAAGTCGTGTTGGTATTGAAAACTGTTTCATTGTGCCGTTCTTCTACAAACAGCCAGCAGAAGATACACGTTCTCAATACACATGCTGCAAACTAAAGAAATGGCAGTCCTACGAAAATTCCCTTTGTAATGCTTTATTTAGACGAACAATGGTTGTGAAGTACGTGTTTTCGCACATCTTGTGCCACCGGATCAGTGGTAATTGGCTACTCTACAAGTGAAAGAACCGGGTCCGTGGGCCTTGATAAATTATTTATAAATCGGTCGCCGCTAGGAAATTTACTGGATGGCATTCAGTGACGAGCGTCCCCCCCCCCCTTTACCCTCCAGATCAATTACATATTATAAAAAAACATATTATTTCTCAAGCAACTATGGGACGAACAGCGTTGGCTCTTAAAGGCATCCAATGCGATTTCAGGGCAGCAAAATTGTCAATATTCTGAATAAGGCGATCTTTGTGATATTGACACATACTGCTTCACATTAGCAAATTTGAGTCAGCATTTCATACTTTGGGCATCTAATTCTGCAGAAACAAGCCCCAAGATGAGTTCTTTATTTTCTGGGTGGTACCCTCAAAATTTAGCCCAGCGCCCTTTCAGTAAGTAGTATTATAGGTCCGAGATGCCTTTCCATTTATCATCTTTTCATTGGTTCGGGACTTATAGGCGTTTGAAGTTTTTAGGGGGCACACCCCAGTTTATTTGGCGTCTCTATTGGAAGCTGCACACCCTCAAATCTAGCGACCGTCTCTGCCGTGGAATAATTCGGAAGGACAATAACTGTATATGGGACGAAAGGATATCGCTTCAGCTACAAGACCAGCTTAGTTTGGTTTCTTCAACCTTTTTAAGTTTGGTAAAATCAACGGAAAAAAACATTATTTTCACTCCAAAATTAATGCCCAAAATTGCGAATTTTCGCGTAGAATAATCCCATAGAAAAAAATTTTCCGGCAGAAATGACTGATGCTGGCAGAAAAACCCAAGCCTTGACTATACCCGAGTAAATTATAAAGAAAATTCTAGTGCTGAAATTTTCTAAATAGTCCACGGCGCGAGGGGTTGCAAATCCACCCCTACGAAGCCGCAGAGCGAAATCTAGGTCAAACGGGCGGATTACACTTGGCGCGCAAGGATACCCGGAAGTAACGTTCGGAGCCAAAAGAAATTTTCACCCCAAAATCACCATTTCTTAAACTCTTCAGCCATGTTAATGTTTAATGATACTTCGTGGGAGTTTATGAGAAATGTCACCTCAAACTTGGACCCTCAAAACCCTTTCGTAAATTGTTTTACAACGGACTATCGCGGACCCCTGTCGCGCAAGAACTGAGGTGTGCACCGTTAAGGGCCGCCTTAAGGTAAGGTAAGGGTTAGGGCAACTGAAGGTACCAGAAGGCCAAGTTTGGTGTCGTTTAAAAGGTAATGGTCTTAGTATCAAAGACCCGCAACCCCTGTCGCGCAAGAACTGAGGTGTGCACCGTTAAGGGCCGCCTTAAGGTAAGGTAAGGGTTAGGGCAACTGAAGGTACCAGAAGGCCAAGTTTGGTGTCGTTTAAAAGGTAATGGTCTTAGTATCAAAGACCCGCAACCCCTGTCGCGCAAGAACTGAGGTGTGCACCGTTAAGGGCCGCCTTAAGGTAAGGTAAGGGTTAGGGCAACTGAAGGTACCAGAAGGCCAAGTTTGGTGTCGTTTAAAAGGTAATGGTCTTAGTATCAAAGACCCGCAAACCATTTCCGTTTATCATCCTTGGTTTGGGATTTATAGGCGTTTGAAGTTTTAAGGGTCGCCTTAAGGTAGGGTTAGGGTTAGGGCAACTGAAGGTACCAGAAGGCCAAGTTTGGTGTCCTTTAAAAGGTAATGGTCTTAGTATCAAAGACCCGCAAATCGTTTCCGTTTATCATCCTTGGTTTGGGATTTATAGGCGTTTGAAGTTTTAAGGGTCGCCTTAAGGTAGGGTTAGGGTTAGGGCAACTGAAGGTACCAGAAGGTCAAGTTTGGTGTCGTTTTTTAGAGGTAATAGTCTCAGTATTAAGAGTCCGCAAACCGTTTCCATTTACTATCTTTGGTTTGGGTTTTATAGGCGTTTGAAGGCTTAAGGTTCGCCTTAAAACACATTCTAGATATTTACACTAGGGGCCATTGTGCTGTCAATTTAACGATCGTTAAGCACGCCCCTGTTGGTGAATGTCGTTTCAACAAACAATTATTCAAAGAAAATGTTTTCCGAAGAAAGCCACTGTTGGCAGCTTCCTGTCTGTAACTTGTTGTTTTAACCTACATATAAAACCAGACCAAGACCTCGCCTGCCCTTAAAATGTTCAATCACCAAAAGCCCACTCTAGTAACGTACGGAGCTCCCACGACGACCATTTCCGAACTTGATTTTCCTGTCGTCAACGGTAACTTGCTCACAAAAAATCGTGAACAACCATTTGCGACTTCACGAATTATCCTGCTAACAACAATAACGACCAACACAAAAGGTCAAATTCAATGACGTGGGAACCTCCCACGAGACCCATTTCCGAACTTGACCTTCGTATTCTCAACGTTAACTTGCCAACTCAAAATCACAGACAACCATTTAAGGATTCCCGAGTTATCTGGAGTACAACAAAAAACGCAAACACAAAAGGTGAGCTCCAGTCACGTAAGAACCAACCACGAAGCCTTATTTTGGCCTTGACAATGCCCATCACTAAGACATCCTGCCTACCAAAAATCGTAAACCTCGGACCATGCCTTCAAAATTTATCGTGCATAATCTGCCAAACAGTGCCAAAACGATTTCATAGCCTTCTTGTCAAGGCAATTAAATTAGAATATTTTAGAATACCACATTACAAGTAAGGTAGGTCTCGGAATTCGTTCGAAGCTGACCGGTAGTTGTTAGGTCAGCCCGGCTAAACGCAAACATTCTTATATGCTTTTGATCTTTCCTTTTACCTGAAGTATTAAATATCGTCCATAAGTCGAATTCAACATGCCTAGTCCTTCCTTAATGTTTATATCTGGCTTTCCAAAAACGTACGGCTCCTTTAGTTTCCACCTTCTATAAACAAGCTTTCGGCCCACTGAAAGACCCCCCCCCCCCATAATACAGTACAGGTGTCATTATTAGGCTAAGGCGTTCAAAATTGACTTTACTTGTTAATTAGTATTTGTGTTGTATTCCTATTGCCATTATGGTGTTGTAAGTCATTATTGTGGGTTCTTTAACGGTTCTTGATGTGTGGTTTTTCTCAAACACGGGCTCTCCGACTTTACTCCGCAACCCCCGTCTGTAGCCTGTAATCTTCAAGAGAAGCCTGTTGTCAGAATAACATAGTGGCAGGCAACCGTGAACGTTAGGTCAATGAACTTCAGTTGAACGTCAGGTGAGCTACCGCAAATAAACGTAAACAAAGTAAAGTGACTAGAACTTTGTTTTCGCACAGGCATTATCTTCGCGGAGATACAACCACTTTAACTTCCTGACCTATCTATCAAACAAATAATTAAAAAACAAATAGTTAAAAATACATCTAGAATATTTTTGGAAACGTCTCGGCTGCCATTCGCAATGTTTGTTACAAAGGTTTCTTGACGGTTTGATGCCGTCCTGTCTTGCAATTGAACTCGGTCTAGCAGCGAGAGAAAAAAGAGACAACGCGAATTTGTTTTAGCCTCCTTGGATCTTGACGGAGTCAACATCTTCAGTCAAAAGATGCCTGACTTGAGAGAGAAGGTAGCCATAATCACAGGTAAGTAAACAGGAGATTGCAAAATCCGCAATCCAGTCAGTGCAGTGGTCGGTCGGCTGTATGAGGGCGACTGTCCGACCCGAAACCTGTTAGGTGGCTAGCAGGTATACCAGACCCCGGCTTGATATTCCCTTTAGCTGGGGTAAGCCACAAGCCCTGAGTTAGAACCTGGGGGTCTAATTTACCTCTCGAGCCGGTTAGAAAATTGCGAGAATCCATCTATATTAGAGAGTCCATCTTTATGTGGCAACAGTCTGGTACCCAGGCTAGGAGGTAATGTGGCCCGTGACACATATGTGTTTGGAGTTAATATTTAACTTGCTTCATTCAAGTACAAGTACGCTACAGGATCCCGTCAGGTTTTACGATAAACGTGATGTACCAGGAGAAACAGCCAGCTATTTACTTGTTGCATTATGTATTGTTATTGGGTGGGTCCGCTATAGGACTGGATTTTCAGGAGATCTGTAGCGGCTACCATTCATGTCGGCGACATGGCCGCACCTGTGGCTGTAGAACTATGTTTGAACCTAAATGTAAACTGAACACCTAATGTTTGAGTTGTGATGCTTGAACTTATCAGGTGCTAGTTCTGGTATCGGGAAGGGGACAGCTGTGGAATTTGCTCAGCTGGGAGCGCACCTGGCTCTGACTGGGAGAAACCAGGAAAACCTGCAGGCCACAGCAAAGGCCTGTGTGGAGGCAGGGACTCCGCAGGACAAGGTGCTTCTTTTTTTGTTTGTTTGTTTACATTAAACCAACACAGGGCGTTTTGAAACTCATTCTGCTTTACTCTGAACCTTTCTAAAGTTGGGAATGTATTCAACATTAAACGCCTTTGTGTTGGTAAAGATCTCCCTTTCCTTTCCTCCATCAGATCCTGCTTGTGACAGGAGACATCTGCAAAGAACAAGTGCAGAAAAACCTGGTGGAACAAACTGTCCAGAAGTTGGGCAGAATTGATGTGCTGGTATGAAACTAGCTAATGTTGTCTTTGAATAGAACTATACATCACAATTAGCAGCTCAACCAATGAGAGCATTGCTATCATGATTAGCAGTTCGGGCAGTCAGGGAATTGCTACATATGTCCATCAAATATCTGCATCTTTATGCTTCACTTTTCATGCATTTGAATTCATTTTAGTTATGTCACATTTTGACAGACGTGAGTAGGGATAGGTAGGGTTATACGATTTTTCTATACATGTATTGAATTATAATTATTGTTTTTGTATTGTTTTTTGATATTGCTCAATATTGCCTTCTTGTCGATTTATATTGCCTGACCTTCACCACAAGTTGAAAAAAATACAGGTAATATGATGCACTTTTATCATTCAGACAACTGAAATGTTTGCCATGAAAATATGACTGGTCAGAGCTTTACATTAAACGTAGAAAAACATCAGCTCTATTTGTGTACCTGTAATATCGAATATTACAGGTACACAAATAGAGCTGGTGTTTTCCAGCAAATGCAATTCCAAATCCATTGCAATGGGAATTAAATTGTTCTTCAACTAAAGAAAAATTGCTCACCGGAATTTTCGACCGAATTGACTGCTGTAACGTCAGCACTGGGTCAATGTTCGTCGGAAGTTGGTACCGCCCCCCGTCCCGCTTGAGAGAAGGTTTATTTGTGTCCAAATTCAATCATCTACATGTCAATATCCATACAGGTGAACAATGCAGGGATAGGCCAGCCGGCTACTATCGAGACAACAGACATGGCGGAGTATGACAAACTGATGAACGTTAACGTTCGCAGTGTGGTGGCCTTGACTCAGTTGTGTGTGCCACATCTGACCAAAACTAAAGGTGCCAAGTTCCGTTTAGAATGTTATGGGCCTTGAGTCTAATGAAGTCTTGAGTAATGTAACATAATTGTTTGTCTCAGTTGCATGCCGTAATGCAAGTTGTACATGACACCGGCCTGTACTTATATCATACCTCTAATGCCTTACCTTCTGTGTTTTTCAACAAAGGGGCCATTGTGAATGTGTCCAGTGTGTATGGGATACGAGCGGTAAGTGTTTCAAGAAGCCCTAGTCACTCACATTTACCTTGTCATGACCAATTGTTCCAAGTCTCAAGAAAGGTCGTTTGTTGTCGGGAGTTGGTCGAATAAGGATGTCTGAGTCGCACACTACAAGCCTTTAAAACTTGTCTGCATCGGTTATTTAGACATCTTAATAATACAAAAGTCATGTTCTTCATAGGTGCAAACAGTAGCAAACTTATGCTAAAATATGATGGGTTCAAGCATTCTCCTGACCAGCCAGTGTTACTAATGGATGGGAAGTAGTGTTGAGAAGCTCTTCTGGCTTTGTACATGTGTCAAGGCTTAACTTACATTTGAACAAACTCCGGTCAGTTTTAGTCAGTAGTGTATACATGTAGAACATGCATGATTTTAAGGCATGTCCAAAACTATGTATCAGGGACCTTCAACATTGACATTTTACCCACAATGCACCACACTGCACAAGCACAGTTCAACACATGAACTGGTTTATTCCCCTTTAAGATTGAAGGAAATCTTGCATACAGCATGAGCAAGTCAGCACTGGACCAGTTCACAAGATGTGTTGCACTTGGTTAGTGAATGAATATTCAATATTCATTTCTTTTCAAATATTGTTATATTATATCATATTATATCATATTTTATAATATTGAAGTTTTGTGGTTGAAACAAGGGATGTTATAGGGAGAGAAAATGGATTTAAGTTTTAAAGAAAGAACCGAAAACTTGTTACCAAGTACATTTCTGAATACAGTATCAGAAAAAAAAGTTGCATGTATCTATAGTTGCGGATATTGCTACCTTTTCAGAACTAGCTTCCAAGCAAATCAGGGTCAACTCTGTCAAGTAAGTTAATTTGCTATTTTTTCAATATGTACATCTTTTGACTATGTTGAAGTAGCCGTACTGTTTAGTTATTCTTGTGTTCTATACTCGCTCCTTCAAGTGAAAGAAATAATCGTCTGTAGACTATTTTAAGGAATTTGTCATCTGTCATGATTGCCTTTATTATTGGTACAGATCTTTAATCTCTGTCAATCCACAGTCCTGGTGTTATCCCGACAGAGCTTTTCAGACGCGCAGGACGGACTGAAGAAGAAGTTGCCAAGGTATAACTCAGAGTGGCGATTCCTTAAAAATCAAAGTATAGTTCAGTTTCAGTTTATTACGATACCCTTCAGCCGGTTAGGGCTAATCTTCCAGGGCTCATTACACATTACACACACAGTACAAACATACACATATGACTACAAATTTACGTACACTTCAGACAAGGTACTAATTATAGCTAAAATCATTGAACGAGCAAATTATCGGCTAAGTATAAAACTAATATTACCATTACTAAAAGATTTCAATACAACAACTATCATCATAATTAAAACCATTAAGCTGCATACATATACAATTGATCGATCAATCTCTTCAACCGCCTCTCATCGGATACAGCCTTAACCTCATTTGGTAGTGCATTCCTTAGCTTTACACATCTGTAGGTAAACATCTTCTTTCCACTGTTGTTCTTTGGTTTCGCTAATGAATAATTGTACACTGACTGTCTGGTAGAGTATCTGTGAGATGAGTGAACTGGTATAAGAGATTTGTAGATCTCCTTTGGCTCAGCTGTGACAACAACCTGCTATCTAGTCTGTTTCTCACAACAAACCAAGATCTGAGTGCATTTTTGCAACTGGGGTATCAAACGGACATTTCGGCTTGAATTACCATCTTGCACACATCATCAGGCATATAACATACATATCTTCTAACATAGGCAAGGTTTTTAGACAGTCTTGCCGTGAGATGTTTTGTGTGAATATTCCAGGTAAGTGATGGATCCATATGTAAACCCAGGAGGACTGCCTTATCAGTTACCTGCTCAACCTTCTCTGAGTCAATCACAAGGTTCAGGGAAGTATCCGGCAAGAGAGCCAGTCTTCGTGCGGTTCCAAATAACATACATTTTGTCTTCATAACATTCATGACAAGGCGATTGGCACTTACCCAGCGAGACACTTTTAACAGATCAGGTTGCTAAGCTGCCACAATAGCACTGACTGACCTGGCAGCCTTGTAAAGCGACGTATCATCAGCATACATCTCAGCTGAACTATTAGATACAGTTAACGGAAGGTCATTTGTGTACAGGGTGAATAACAATGGGCCTAAACAACTGCCCGGCCTGTGGTACTCCACATGCAAGCCCAAGTGGCTCGGAAAAATGACCGTTAATGTAAACCACCTGAGTTCTGTCTTGTAGACACCTTTCAAACCAAGGCAGAACATCTGGTTGAAAACCGTAAGATTTCAGTTTTAAGAGAAGAATACTGTGATCCACCAGATCAAATGCAGCACTGAAATCAATGTATACAACTCCAATAAGCTCACATCATTCCTAGTAATAAGTATACAATACAATAAGTATACATCATTCCTAGTCAGTGAGGAAGGAGTAAACTGGCACGTACGCACGGCTTCAGTCAGTTCTGTAAAGCGTAGAAGCTTCCTTACCTCATGTGCAAAAGTTTAAAGACTGAATCTCTCTCTCTCTCTCTCTCTCTCTCTCTCTCTCTCTGTGTGTCTATCTGTCTATCTATATCTATCTATAT